CACACTTAAAAGAGTGAGGGGGAGGAGGGGTGGAGATTTGTCATGCATGTGCCCTGGGTCAGGCTCCATACCTCTCCATCCACTGCTGGTATCTGCTATCTGCAAGCACATACTCGGGGGCCACGTGAACCACCAGCGCCACAGGGGCATCGGCCTTTCCTTGGTACCTGAGTGGACAGAAGGGTGGGGCTTTGCTTTATAAAGTGATACAAACTCAGAACATGCACAAATGGGGCTGGAAAGCCAGGGAGAAGCACCGTGCAGCTTTCTTGGGGACTGCGATGAGCCTGCAATCATTAAATCCAGGCTAGGTAGGCTGTTCCTGGCTACCCTCAGAAGTGCCTGAGCATGGCAGAGCCCAGCGCTGACCTGGGATTCCTCCATTCAGCAAGCTCTGGGTCCTTCCAGCGGCCTGCTTGAGCCTTCCTCAGGGCTGTGCTGCAGACCGAGGCTTCTCCTGTCCCCTCCTTTTGCAGGAGTCAGACCTGCAAAGCCTTCTCCTGCTTCCTCTCTCTTATCTTTCACAGGCATTTCCTCCAAGAAATCTCTTATACCTCCAATCCCACCTTGGCATCTGCCTTCCAGAGGACCCAAGACAGATGGAAAATTAAAATTATCTGTAATTTCGCCATCTAGAGAGCCAATCACTTACTAACATGTTGAGGTGTTTCCTTCCAGTTCCCTTAAGGAAAATATATACAGTAGCTGTTTTTATTTACTCCCAACCCTTTTCCAAACACACACATGTGGGAGTTCGCAGGCTGGGTATTTAAACCTGACAGTGACATATCAATGCACATGGCTCTCGGCTCACACCGTCACAATGACTTGAATAGCTTTGCTGCCTATGATTTGATTAAAACATAAAGCCTGTGCCACCAGAGTACCCAAAGAGAATAAAGTGGAATTCGAGAACCATGTCTAACACTCTTATGTTAAAAGAGCTACAGCTGCCCAGAAGGATTTGTTGTGCTTAACAGAATAAAACAATAAGTGAAAAAGAATAAATAAAAATTAAGAACAAGAAAAATATGGATAGAATAAACTAGAATGGGACAAAAGTAAAACACAGATGTGTGGGTCAAAGATTCTACTCAGGATAAAGCTGAACTGCAAAATGGGTCGACTTCTTTAGAAGACGAAAAAGAATGGCACTCAGGCATGAGTCGGCCTCGGCCTCTCACATCAGCACAGTGGCTTTCCCAGAGACCCGGCTCCATGCCAGGAGCAACCACCGGTCAGGGGATGCCCTGTCGATGCTGCTGGGCTTTGTCAGCTGTGTGTCGGCTCTCATTTCTCCCACCTCAGAAACTGTCATCACCTCTGGAAGGTTGTGTTCGCACAGATGGGTTGAATGAATCCTTCATCTGGACATTCGACCACGACAAAAGCAAGACTGGGATCCGGAGGAGTACAAATCTCTTCAGGTAAAATCTGCAAAATCATTGGGGTGATGATGCTCTCTCACAGCAGAGTCACAGCTCAGCAAACATATCTGACAGCCTTCAAATCCACTGCTATCATTACATAAGCTCTACTGAGCAAGCACAAAGCCAACATAAGAATCACCACTAACACCCTTCCTGCTCTCTCTGCTTAAACTTAGGCAGGCAGCTGACTAGCAGAGGGCATTTCAAAGCTGGAGTGGCCAGGAAGCCAGGCATGGCATGCACGGTTCTCTTGGGTCTATGGCCATTGGCCCTAAAATTTTTAAGATGCCAGAGAAAACATCCTGGTAAAGAACACGGTAGCACTCTTTTGAGCCATGCATCTAAAGTTCCATCCAATGGGGTCTGCCTATGCTCACGTAAAAGGGAAAGAATCTACCTATTAGGAGGACGACCTCCCAATCCTAAGGGACAATCTACAGAAAAGCCCCAGCGCTGATATGCAAGGACAAGTCTAGATAAGTGACCCCATGTTATCCCTTAGCCAAGTGATGAAATCCAAGCTGTTCCACTTCCCTCGAAAGTGGTAACTATAGGGTCTGAGCCAGATAGCAACTCTGTCCAATGTTCCAGGCCCTCCCTGTAAATAGTAAAGCATCATAAAAATGGAGCATCTCACCTCTCTTCCCTCATAAGTGACACTTTTCCCGTCCTTGACAGCAGCAATGATGGGAGCAATGGCAGCTGTCCCACTGAAACGAAGAGGCAAGCCTTCTGTGAGATGAGGAGCTTTATGAACAAAAGTATGCCCACCAAGTCTCCAGCAGCAGTGCGCCCTGACACTCACACTGGGAGGCCCAGCTCCTTTGCTTTAAGCACCAAGAAGTTTCCTTTCTTCAGGTGAAGCTGCAACGAAGAGAACTTCAATGTAATTTCAGTGACTAATGAAGAAGCTTGGTTTTAATCAATTTTCTTATAAGTGCATCTTTCTGGTTTTACTTTTTAACTATTGTTATTTTCTTACTATTCATTACAATGAAGGTTAGGTTATTGCTTTTAGGTAAAGTATATCATATTCTGAAGAAGTCATTTATTTTGAAATGCTTTAGTAATAAAAGCTGAATGATTTAAAAACAGTCCTTTATTTCACTACATTAACTCCTTATAGATTTAATAAAATATAAGCCATTTCCATAGCAAATAAAAAAGTATCCTTTAAGTATCCTTGCGGAGAAACACTCTTCTGTTTTATCATCCTGCACTGGTCAACTAATAGCTAGAGGAATGTTCCCAGGACATCGTCTAACAGAGAAATGACCAGGCACATCACTATGTAACACAATATTGCAATGACAGTGATAGGGCAATAAAAGTTTGGACAGTTTTTCTCCCCTATTTTTCACATATTTGGCAATACAGTACTGTTGTTTTTATAGTGGAGAAAAATAATTTTAAAATTCTCAATATAGTCTTATTATATCAGAAGAGAAAACAACAATTGTAGCATAAAACCTCATTATCATCATTCTGTTCTGAAAAATTTGAACATTTTTGGTATCTATATATTTCACACATAATAAGAGAAAAAAGACTGAAATGGCATAAAATGTTAATAAACCTTTTGGTATTGTATTCGATGCTCATTTTCTTCTTTCAATCTTTATTTAAACTATTTGCATTTTCTTTTAACTTCCTGAAGTTAAGAAATTACTCTTAGGGCAAAGGCTCCAATCTGGATCCTCAAGTCTTGTTATGATTCTAGAATTTTCTTTGAAAATATTACCGTAGAGGAAGGATTACAGCCTAAGTGTGCACACATAACACAAAGATGATAGAGCTTAGATGACATCTTTAGATAGTGACACTAACAAGCACTGTTGTGAGCTTTCTCTCCACAGACCCAAATGGATCTGAGGATGGAAAATAAATGTTTCTAATGTCTAACAGGAATTTACAGACCTAAGACAGGCAAAACTCATCTCTCTACTACGAGCTGAATTCAACCCATGGAGAGAGTTGTTCTCATCTAAGGAATGCAAAGTATTTGGAAGACAGATGAGGACCAGAATGCAAGCCCACAAGGCCCCAAGCAGGTACACAGTTGTCTGGAGCCCATGCTCTCCTATCGGATGAGAGTGCCTCAGGCCCTTGTGCAAGAGCCTGTTTTCTCCAATCTCCCAGAAGTTGAACTAGCTCAGCTTTATTGCCTTCCAAACCCTTAGCAGGGGCACAGCAAATTAATTAGAAGAGAGAAAAGGGGCTACAGGCTGACCTAGGGAGAGCAGCTCTCAGAAGCAGGAGCAGACAGCCAGGCAGGACACAGAAGCCACAGCAGCAGCTTGCAGCTACTTAGTGTCAGAGCCTCAGCTCCCAGAAACAGCTGCTTGCTAATAAACTCTTGCTAATTGCTAGAGTTTATAAGGATGCACTCCTATCACACAGAACACATTTCATTATGCTCGATGTAATCTATTTAGGAAGGTAGATAGGATCTAATACACATAACAATTACCATGTAAACTACTTAAAAATATATTTTGCTGCCTAAAAACTCAGAAATACACAATAAGCCTATTGGCAGTGGCACTTAATTTTTATAAAAATTACTATTATTATTCAAATAAATTAACAAGTGATATTGATAATGATCTTGCAACTAATAATTAACATTACCACTAAACTTCCATAAGTATTTTCACTTCTTGGTGTTAGAATTTGGATGAAAATGAGAAATATATTTTAAAATCAACATTGCTTCTTTTTAAAAAAAAAATCAAAGCCCAGAAAAAGAAAATGTAGTCTTATCACAGATTAGACAAAAAATGTGGAGTCCAATAAAAAATAGATCATTAGTCAGATCTGAAAAATACCTATTATAATAACATTTTCATAGAATTTGACCAATTTCAGATTTGCAGATCAAAGCCTTTGTGAATGCTTGCCAATATTAAATAAGTCCTGATGTTAGCAACTTTAAAAGTACCGTTAAATGTAATAAACTAAAACGGAGTTGAAGGAGCCTGAATAAAAGCCCGATTTGTTTGAAAGAAAACAAAGCTTTTGCTGAAAACATTATCTTTAACTTTAGAAGCTCAGCCTTTATCTTCAGAAACATAACTTTTAACTATTTCCGAAGTTCAAAAGGCCCAAACAGAGCCAAATAAAAAAGAATATATAGATAGACCAACAAAACACTGAAGAGAATTTGAAAGCATATAACAGTATAAGTGGTATATTGAGAAATAGGGTATCTGTGTTTCTTCTTTGCACAGGTGACTTAGAAGCTGCTACCTGAGAATTACTGGACAAGTGCTAACCCAAGGTCATTACGCATGTGCTCACTTAAAGCCCACCAGAAAGGTGCTTACCTTACAGACGAAAGCTACAACCAAGGAGGGATCCCTGCCACCCCTTCTCTGGATAACACCTGAGAAAAAACAAATCTGATTATAAGAAAGTAAATGTGAAGGTTTATAGGCTTCACAGATCAATGCTTATCTGACACCTAATTTGACTTCACACAAAATTAAACATACATAACTGTCCCAATACAAAGGCTGAAGAAAGCACTGGCATTTTTTCAAGCAGACCTTTTGTTTTTCCTATTCGTGTTGAAATTTGAGTAAAATAAAAATGCAAAACTCCAAGTAGAAAAACTTTAGAATGGCAGGTGAAATGTATAAAAAATGACACTTTACCTAGGAAAGGAGAAGAGAGAAAAAACCAAGTTGTAAGGTGGTTTATAAACAAGTGTAAGAATAGGTGAAATAACAGAAAAGCTAAAAGGCCTGCAGAGAAGGTATGGGTTTGTCTTCACCCGTGTCATCCAAAAAAAGGATGCTTACAGGGTTGGCCTCTTCTCGGTCATCAGACAGACACGACCCCAGAGCAGAAAAAGGAACTTAGCAACGTGCCCAACACGGGACAACAGAATCCTTAAGCAGTCCAATTCCTTTGATACATCTACTCTTGGAATTTTAATCCAGTTTCCCAGTAGGTTGTCACTCTGAAAGAAAAGGTGCAGATCCACTCACTGATATAACTGTTTTGTCAGCTTAGCAGTTATGGTTCTGCATTAATGAAAAATTAATTTGCATTAATGTTGTATTAATGGAAAACACAAAAGCCTTGATATGAATCAATTTGTCAGACCCTGCTCTGCTCTGGGTAAACTGAACACAAGTCTGGGGCCCACGCAGGACTGTGGACTGGCTCTTAAAAGTCCACACTGCCACCTTACGACAATCCTCATTCTTCACACAGGCCAAGTCCTAACATGCTGAGAAAAAAGTATCTGTTTTACATGCAGAGCTTTCTTATGATAAGGATTCTAATTTAGAGCATTAAGAGGCAATGGATTAAGAAAATAGAATTCTTTTGACAGTGTACTGTTTAACCAGCATTACCATCTGCAAGGTGCTGCTCATTCTCAGTGGATCTAGAGTTTCTCATTCCCCACACAGGCCAAGTCCTAACATGCTGAGAAAAAAGTATCTGTTTTACATGCAGAGCTTTCTTATGATAAGGATTCTAATTTAGAGCATTAAGAGGCAATGGATTAAGAAAATAGAATTCTTTTGACAGTGTACTGTTTAACCAGCATTACCATCTGCAAGGTGCTGCTCATTCTCAGTGGATCTAGAGTCTGAAGACTGCTCTGGACTGAGACTTTCTGGACTCTGTGATGGCTGGTGCTTTCCACACCTCTGTTCACCTGGTCGGTACAGGAAACAACCCAATTACACGCCATGCAAGGTGAGCTCTCAGCCAGAGCCCATATGTTCACACATTAATGGGAATGTCAGAACACCCATTAAGTCAGCATGCCATGTCCTACAGCAGTAAATAACTAGTTACCTCCCCACCTGGTCTCTGGACTGCATTTACACCTTATTTATCTTTTTGTTTCTTCTCAGCTCAGAGCCTTAACTATTGTAGGAATTCAACAGAGTCTGTTGACTAAAAAGCATATAGGTAGTAGGATAGTTTATTCATCATCATCACTCTCAATAAAGAGACTAGGCCTGAAGGTTATCCATCTGCATGAAGAGTATAATGTTGCAATCACTTAAATCTCAAAGTAAAAAGAAAAACAAAACAAAACAAAAAAACAACAAAACACTGCTCTAGGAAGCTGATGCACAGTTGCTGGTCTCACAGAAGCCTGCTTGCTCCTCTGGCATACTCATTCCCTTAGTGCCCACTGGGTGCTGAGAAAGCAACACCAGCAGGCCGAGCAAGTTCACACTTGTCACACAAATATAAAAGTAAACTGTTCCGTGCTAGGGAGGGAGGAAGAGGGTGCTAGAAAGGAAGTGGAGGGACACAAATCGGGCTGGGGGATGGAGTGGGGGTCAGGAAAGGGAAGGCACCTGAGCAGGAGTGAGCCAGGCAAGGAGTTCTAATGGGACCAGCCATCTCACTGGCACTCACTTGTACCTTTGCTTGAGCCACACTTCTTGCCTCCCTCCCTCCTTCTATCCATGGGTGAGCATGAGCCTTGTCTCCTGTCAGGTCTTAGATTTCTCTGGCCATTGCTGGGGGCTCTCATCTGTACCCTTTCAGCATTTGGCAAGCATCACACTAGTTAGCAATGTCAAGGGAATGTCCTGACTGCTCTGCATTCTCCTGGAAGACAGTAAAACCTGACCAAGTGTGTTTAGCCAGATTCAAGGACAACTCTGACATGGTAGGGCCCGACGTGCAGACTGTCTCTCTCTAGGTCAAAACTACATCATCTGGCCCTGAGACCTGAGAAGGTTCCTGTGACCTTCTGACCTCCTAATAGCACTTCTTTAAAGTTGCTATTATCAGAATTTACTTCAAAAGATCCTTTGAGGAGGATATTTATTTACGTCTGTGGCAAATAAACCCTAAGCAAGAAATGTACAAATCTAAGAGTGATATATTTTCTGCCAGTGCTTGTTATGTAATATTCCAAGGTTTAGTCCCTATCATTATATATGACTTAAACGTATCTGCCCATAAGATTATAAGCTCCTTAAAGGCAGGATCCATATCTTAATTTCTCAGCTAAATTTCCTAATTATGCTCAGAACACAAAACTGGGTACACAAAGCCAGTATTCAAGCATTTCTATTTTCACCCACACTTTCCTTACCCAGGACCTACATCCTCCTCCTCCTCTTAGGAAATGTGGTTTTCTTACTCACTGTATATGGGGATCTGGAAAACTGTCATGGTCTCATCTTTATATTCTGGTGCAGTGTGGGGCCGCACAGCTATGTGAAAAAGACAACAGGAAAGCAACTGCATTAGTACAGAGATGTGTGAAAGTTAACTTTCCAGATCATTGACCACAAGCAACTGAATTTCCTTAGAATTTTGGTTAAGACACAGCACTAAAACTAGAATTTCTGAGTAAATTAAAATTTGGGGGGAAGAAGAAAAATATATTTTCATCAGCCATTAACATTTACTATGGCCAAATGAAAAGACATTATGATCACCGGTGACTGTAAAAAAAACAAAAAAACAAAAAAACAATACTCGATACTCAAATTTAAGAGGCACAAGTTAACATACAGCATTGTGAGCCAGAGAATCTACCATCTCAACTGTAAGAGCTGGTATTGATTTTGAAAAAATATCTAAATTGGTGTTTCTACAGAATAGGAGCGCATTAACAAGCCAGAGATGCACATCACCTCCAGGACAGGAGCCTGCCAGCATCCTTAGTTATGCCTTTCCCCATGAAGAGGTCACATGCAGCATGGCCAGAACTGAGGTTCAGTGTTAAAGGGCAGCAACAAAATCTGTAGGTCCCTCTGTTCACATCCCTTCTCCCTACTGCAAGGAATTCAAGGCAATTCAAATTTGAAAACTATCTCCAGCCTATATTTGGGGAATATAGAAAGTGTTAACAGGCAGTATTTTTAAAATGCATCTATGTCGATAAAGCATTTAAGGTTTAATTTAGGTAGGTCTTTATGGATTCTAATTTGAGAGATTGGGGCATATATGAGAAAGAAATGGAAGATAATGAGTCATAATCAGGGACATACCTAGGTCTATTCCTTTCAATGGACCAGAAAATATTTTGATGGCCTCTAGGTATTTTTCCTACAAAAGATAAAGAAAAGAAAGAAGTGAGCAGTTATGGTTGCACAAGTGCAGAATACCACAATGTATCCAAGTATATAAGAAGTATCGATAGGTATCAACATGACCTTTAATAAGTATTTTGAGCTTCCTTTATGCAAATATTTACCAAGTGCCTACTATAGGTTCAATGTCAAGGATTCCACAGTGAGAAAGGTCCTTGCCCTCATGAACAGCAGAATCCAGTGGAGGAGACAAAAATGAAATGATAACACAAACAACAACTGAGTGGCAGCTATGCTAAGTGCTTAGTGGTAACTGTGCTAAGAAACAGGAAAAACACATGGAGCTGGGATACACCTTGTCTGGAGAGTCAGGGATGGTTCCTGAGTCAATGACCTTTCAGCTGAGCCCTGAAGGTTTGGAAAGATTTAGGCAGGGAAGAGAAGAGGTAGAGGGAACTCATGTATGGATGAAAACCCTGATATGGGAAGGAGCTACAGCGCAGGGCAGTGGGACTAAGCGTTGGCCCATGTAGCTCCAGCTTGGTAACTGGGACACAGATGCAAATTTGGGCAAGGACCAAGGCCTGTAGGACTTGTGGGCCATATTAAGATGTTTGGACTATACCAGAATGGAGAACCTTTGAAGAGTTTTAGGATAAGTGCCATTAGAGGTCCCTCTGCCTGCTGTGTGGCAGGTGGATTACAGGGAGGCAATAATGGATGTGGAATGCTATCACAGTAGACAGGTATAGTAGATGGAGATAATGAAAGCCTTAATGCGATGAAGATAAATGGATAGATTTGAGGAATTATTTTGAAAACAGAATTAACAGTATTTTGGTGATTGGTTATCTTCATCTTAAGAACTGGGAAACAATATTCAACAGTTTTAGCAATGTGCACACAACTTCTCAATAGTGTAATAAGCAGAGTTGAAATTATGAAGATGTCTCAAATATAATAAATAGGTAAGAATAAAAGCTAACATTGTGTTCCTAGTTGGTGCCAAACCTGGAATAAATTGGTTTAGTGCTTTATATGTTACCTCACTTAATCTTTAACAACTCAATGAAACATTACAGCCATCTTACAGATGAAGAAACTGAGGCTCCAAGAGGTAAAGTAACTTGTTCAAGGTCATAGAGTTAACAAAGTTTGGGCTCAGGCTTTTTAATCTCCATTATCAGTTATCTCTGGAGGACAGAAAATTGATTTGCAAAATGAAAATTCCTGTTACAACTTTAAAAAAGGAGGGGTAAGCTTTAAAAGCTGAGTCAGGAGAGACTCACCAGTTGTGGAGGTCCAGAAAGTACACACTTTGGAAGCCCAGTTTCCTTTAAAGTAAGAATCATTCCTAAAAAGGACAAATAAGATCAGATCTCTCACCACATGATCTGTAGTTGCCACCACGAGGAGCACTCCTTACAAACCAGCTATTTTTCTACTTGTCTTCATTCCAGCTTCTAATGATCAGAGAACATGTGTATGGCAGAAGTGATGCTAGCTAGAGGTATAAGGCAGGGGTCCCCAACCCCCAAGCCGTGGACTGGTACCAGTCTGTGGACTGTTAGGAACCAGGCCTCACAGCAGGAGGTGAGCGGCTGGCAAGCGAGTGAAGCTTCATCTGTATTTGCAGCCACTCCCCAGCGCTAGCATCACTGCTTCAGCTCCACTTCAGATCATCAGGTATTAGATTCTCATACGAGCACCGGTCCCTGGTGCCAAAAATGTTGAGGACTGCTGGTATAAGGGACAGCAAATATTCCTCGAATGCCTCTAGAATGAGCAAGGCTGATACTAGGGAGAAGTAGTGATGTACCTAGGGTGCAAAATCAGGTGGGGCTGTGAGGCACATAGAGTGCAAATTCACATAAGTGAAGGGATGGCCTTAAATTTTGCACCCTAGGTACCTCTTTGCCTCACTCTGGTCTCAGCTCAGAGAATGTAACTGGTTTAACTCTCCACTCCTTCGTATCCACATCACAAAGCTTACAGAATTTGGTGGCAACACAATCCTGACTTTCCTGGTGGGTGGGCATGAATAATGCGGTAATCTGAATAGGAGTATCTGTGTGTAGCTGCTGATGTTCTCAACAGTAAATATATTTACTGTAATCACCATCACCACATTCTCCAGTTTACTGTCACGTATCTCCAGTCCAGCAACTCAATAAATGAAGTGGATGGTAACACTTGAGGGCAGAATCCATGTTAAACTCTGCCCTTCTGAGTCACCGCTTTTGATGCTCTATGCTGTAGCTGACTGAGCTATCATAAAAAGAATTCCTGCTCCTCTGGACTCAGAAGATGGGCAAAAAAAGGGCAAAGCAGGTTAAAACCCCAGAGACTTCCCTCCAACCTATGATGTTAGAAAGAATATGCTCACCACACAATCCCCCAACGTTACTCCAGTGCATTCGGGTCAGGAATATGTTGTCCAAACGAGATACCTTCAGCCTAAGAAAGAGAAACATTTGAGCAGGACAAAGCAGATTGACCAGGGACCCTTTCTTTTGCTATAAAAACACTCCTACCTCTCATCTCAGCTTTCAATCCCCATAATCATCCCCACCCCAAAAGAAAATTGTTGACTCACTTGTGCTCCTGCATGAGTCGCTGGACTCCTTCCCCACAGTTGAAGAGATACCTACAGGACGAATATTAAACGAGATGCTTGTAAGATTATATTCTGTAAGGTCTCTTCCACTGTTTAGAGGCTTTACTGTACACTTTAAGGGTAAATAAAAAACCGTAACAATATATGCTGTATCTGGCAGCATTTCTATTAGGATAGCAGGTTTTGAGAGGTTTTAGCAAAGGCGGGACGGGATTGGATGCTTGTGCAGGCTGGTGTTGGGACGAAGATGGGTTCTTCCCACTATCACCAGACCTGTCAACCCCACACACCAACTATGAGCCCTCCACGCTGGCGTGCACGGGAGCGGGTGCGGCTCAGACAGTAGTAAAGGTGAAGCTGGAAAAAAGAACGCTATACTCTTCTTAAATTCTTCAGGGGTCCCAGAAACGATACGAACGTAGGATGTAAGGGTTCGCTAGGACCTCTCACCCACCAAAAGACAAAGATGGGCTGCGATAGTGAAATCTCAGATGTGTGAAGTAGGTAGGGATAACCGCAGCCCTGGGAGGTGCAGCGATGCTCCCGGGAGCGCAGCAGGGAGGGCCGGGCGGGGCTCCGTAAGAAGACGCCGCGAAGGCCAGGCCGGACCCCCGGCGCGACTCACTGACCGGTTGTACTCAGAGAAGACGTAGAGGGCCGCACCCGCGTCCCGGCCGCCGGCCGCCACCACTTGCAGGTACACGGTGTTCGGGCCCCCGGGCTCCCACGACGGGCCGCGCTTCTCCCGGGTGCGCAGGTGCCGCAGTGGGTCCTTGGGCGGCCGCTGGCGGCGGGCGGGTCCCTGCGACATGGTGCGCCCGGCCGCGGACCGCAGCAGCAGCAACGAGCGAAGCGCCCACATGCGCCAGCTTCCACCCAGGCTGCGAAAAGCAGTCGGTCACCTAGGTCCGCGTGCCCCACGCCCCGCCCCACGGTCCCGCATGGCAAGCCCAGCCAGTCATTGCGCCGCAAACGGAGCTCCTTGCCTACGCGAGGATGCGCGTCCAATAGAGAGGAGCCTTGCCGCTGGGGACTTGTCAGTTGGCGGTGGCCATAGAGTGGGGGAATGCTAGAGCGCCCTGAAGACCCCGCCCCTTGCTTTCTTCCGGGTTTCTCCGGGCGATTCTTTCCGGAAACCACCCTTTACTTGGGGCGGGACTTCCGAGAGCACGTGAACGGGAAAAGCACCTGGGTGTTCTAGTGTTCCAGAGAGTTTGGACCCCCGCCACCGTCAATTGTGAGCTATCTGCTACGCAAGTTATACCCTTGGAGCTTTGATTTGCTTTTGCAGGTGATTATGTTAGGATCAAATGTGAGGAGCTAAATTATATAGAGCCTAGTGTAGGAGCTTTCACTAATTTTATTCCTCTTGTAATTCGTATGAATACATGTTAATCACTTTTATTGGCTTTAGGTAAAAAAAGCATGAGTAGTCAGGGGTTAAGAGAACAAACTCAGGAGCAAGAGTCTTGGGTCTGTTATTCAGCCATAATAAATAAGGATTTGCAACATCATGGATGAACTTTGAGGGCATTATACTGCAAAAAACAAAGAGAACCACTTTAAAATACAGTCAGAGCTGCCATCCCAGAGGAATTGCCTTGCACCTCTTAGTCCTCAGACATTTGGAGTGTTAAAACTGGCCAAAGTAACCTTTGCCCTGGGCCTAAAGCAACATTGTATCGCAAACAAGTGTTAGCAAAGGTAACAAGAAAGTAGACACTATGACTATAAGACTGATTACTAATGACTACAGGCCTGAAAATTAAAAACATTGTTTAAAATTAACATCACTATGTTATCTGCACCTATAGAAATGCCATCTGTTGATATAGCTGATGAGATAACTGGTATAATTTTTCCCTTTCCCTTTTTCACAAAAACCCTTTGCCTTTTGATTAGACACTATTTGGGTTTCTGCCTGAATCAATGCTTTTCTTTTAATCTCAAATAAATGCTTGCTACCTCTCGCTTTGGCCTTTTATTTTTAGGTTAACATTGCTAAGTGAAGTAAGCAAGAGAAAGGCAAAAACTGTGTGATTTCACTTATCTATGGAATAAAAATAAAACACAGAAACAGAGTAGATTGATGGTTACAAGGGGATGAGGGGTAAGAGAGATAGGTGAAGGTGGTCAAAGGATACAAACTTTCAGTTATAAGATGATTAATGTACCCCATGGTGACTAGTTAACAAGACTGTACTGTATACTTGAAAAGTTACTAAGAGAGTAGCTGCTAAAAGTGCTGACCACACACACGAAAAGGTAACTATGTTGAGGTGATGGATGTGTTAATTAACCTTATGTGGTAGTCATTTTGCAACATACATTATTGAGTTGTATACCTTAAAGTTATACAATGTTACATGTCAGTTATACCTCAATAAAGCTGCGGGGGGGGGGGGCGTGGTGGCAAAAGCGATACTAAGCTTTTAAAAAGATATTAGGAAGTGCAGTAAAATACTAATTTTTCCCTTTGTGCTGGCTGGAAAATTACTGTTTGGCTATCGCCCATGGGAACATAATGCTCTAACAATAAGCTTTCTGCTTCTGTATCCCCCACTTGCACAACCAACTTGTGGGGTGACAGTAAAAAGAAGAAAAATAGACTTGTGTGTTCAAACAGGATGAAGAATGGGGTTTAGATCTTAAAAACCCTGTACCTCTACATTTCGGGGCTGCCTAATTTGGGGCCTGCATATCCCTGGCAGACCCAGTTGGCTGAATAAAGAGTGTGTTTCCTATAACTCATTGATTTCTGGTGGTCCGTGTGTCTATTGGGGGCTGGCGGCTACAACACCTTGATGACTACTTTAATCCTTTTTAAAAAAAATGTTAAGTTCCATGCAAAGAAAAATTTTGGTTCTGTTTTACTGGTTCCCTAGGCTCATATCTGTCAGGTAATCCCAAACTGTTTATACTTTAAAAATACAGGCAGACTCATTTTGGTCATCTACTTATATAAAATTCTGAGAGCGGGGTGAAGACGTGTGGAAAAATTAGTGTTTATGAGATTGTTTCCATGGCACAGTATTCCTTTCTGCACTGATGCTCTGAGTCATATTTTTATGCCTAGTATATGATGAAGATAAAAGCTAAGAATTCCCCAATCCGAGGTTATGCTGGAATGTAAATTCCATGAGTACAGGGCTTTGTTGGTCTGGATTTCTGCTGTACCATTAGTGCCTAGGACATTGCCTGGCTTACAGCAGGGAATTAATATTAGAAAGTTAGGAAGAACACAGTAGCTTAAATGACATTGTGTTCTAGCAATTGAACATGACCCCAAATTCAGTCAAGACCGTGGACAAAAAGCTGTTCTATGGAAACATCTCACAGGGTGATCTGATCATAAATTCCTAACTGGGCAAGTCATAGTGGGTAGTCACGCCCTAGGCATAACTTTTTAGTAAGGAGATTTATCTCTGCCTTAAACAAGACCTGTCAATTGTTTTTGTGCATCTAGGTTAACATACCTTTGAAATATACTTACCCACCTTCAAGAAAGTACATAATCTAGTTAACTATTCTGTAATCCAATCCTTGCCTTACTTTCTTCCACTTTCATTTGTTCTTCCTTACATTCCCTCCTTAATTTCAAATGCATAAAAGAGACTGCAAAACTGTCACTTTCCAGAGCATTTGAGATCTTGCTTCCTGAAAATTGTCATCAGTTTTGGCTCAAATAAAACTCTTACAAAAATTCTTTACAGGTTTTGATGTTTCTTACACTGACAGCAATGAATGTATTATCGGAAAGGGCATGGTCTGATTGGTACTTCCAAAAGAGTAGGTCAGCAAGTCAGATGCAGAGAAGTGTCCCCCGACTTGCTGCAGTAGAGGGAGCCTGATATCAGGGTGGCAAGGAAAGTGGAGATGGTGGCAATGGGTTTTCAGAACTCAACAATATTAGCAATTAATGTAATCCAACCACTTTCTTGCGTTTAGTATTTTTTGCTGTGTCTACAAACTACCTCCAAACTGATGCTTGAAAGCCATTTTCAGTCATTTTATTGCTCAGTTTTGCTCAGTGGGGATGGCTCATCTCTGTTCCTTGTGGTAGCTGCTAGGGCAACTTAGTGGCTGATAGAGTATCCAGCATGGCCTCACATATCTGGGGCCTTGGTGCTGACTGGGCTGGGTTGCCTTGCTTCACCTCCACGTAGCCTCTCCCTCAATGTAAATTATTCTCATTCAGTCATCAGACTGAGTTGCCAGCTTCCAAGAAGGTGAAAGGGAAACTTCAGTGCTTCTGAAGGATTAGGCTCAGAAGTCAAAGCAAGTCATGGTCAACACACCCAGATTCAAAGGGAGAGGAACTAGATTCTACCTAATTGATGGGAGAAGTATCAAAGTCACATTGCAAAAGGACACTTGGAATGGAAGAGTCCATGCTCTCCCAGAACCCTCTAGTTAACCCTTGAGCTCCTGTAAAGGTGTGACTACCAAGTGGAATAAGCTGGTCAATGAACACTGGTTTAGGTATATTTCTATAAATGTACAATTATAAGGGTGTAATTTATGACTTGGCTTTCTGGTATATACACTTGTAAGCATGGTTGCCATGAGTTAGTCCTCTCAGCCAGTCATCTCTTGGTGTCCTCACAAATTTCTGCATCCACAAAGCCAAGGCATATCCTAGGCTCCCCAGACTTGTGACCTGACCAAGGGACACCTACTCTACGACCCTGTCTGAGGTACCCACTGGCCTTCTTCACACATACATTCATTCATGCATTCATTCATTAATGCATACATATGGAACTTGCATTAGGTTCTAGATACTATATTAAGAATGTATATAGCTATGAAAAAGACTGACATGTTCTTGCCATCAAAAAGCTCAGGAAGCTGGTATCTTGTGGGCTGGGATGGGGCATGGCCCCAAGGCACACAGGGAAAATGTTATAAGGGGATGGGAGCAGCGATGCTCTTGTCTTCATGGGGTCTAACTCGAGGTATTCCAGGTTTAGATCCCCAGAAACCAGACAACTCCAAATTTACTGGCCACAATGCATCTGAGGGAGATTAAAATATATATATTATATATATATATGTTTTTTTTTGAGCATCATGAGTCCAGGGACCCCTCCCTGTCCACTTTCAGTGCTGGGTGATTGTCCACCCAGGAAAGTGTTGATTCTTTCTTTCTCTCTGGGATAGGACGTGAAGAAGAGTATAATATGTATAGCACGAGGTCCTCACTTAACCCCTCGAGTCTCTTGGATTTAGAGAGAGCACTTATTTAGAAACATTTGGGAGATCTTGTTTGCTCGCAAGAGGATAGTGTCTCGTTTTCAAAAACTATTGTTACTCATACTGGGGCAAGGAT